TGCTGAAGGCTCCAAGGTCGCGCCTGCCTGTGACTGGTCCATGCGGCCTGGGCTCCTCCAGGCGGTGGCCGGGTTCGGAGAGGGAGCCTCTGCCCGGGAAGGTCCAGGGAGCCGATGTTGGGCAGCCCACTGACAGGCCTCTGAACAGACATCCTCCTACCTCCTTCCTCTGCTGGAGGAGCCCTCGTCCCGCTTGAAGGAGGCAACAGAGACCCCACCTCTTAGCGGGGAGAGGGTCCGCGGCTTTGGGGCCACGTTTTACAGCGGCCATCCAGAGTCCCTATGACCTCTTCGAGGCTGGGGTACAGCCTCATGTGCAAGCTCTGATGAAGGCAACTTCTGGCCTTGGTGTCTGGGGGCACAATGGATGTATGGTACGATAACTGTTTTATCCCCCCAAAATCTGGAGCTCCCCATGTTCTAAATTACCCTAGACTCCATAGATGGGCTCAGAGTGTCCTGTAGGGATTCAAGCATTTCAAAAAAAATTGAGGTGAAATTCATGTAACACGCAACGCATTGTCTTAAAGCACTTGATTAGGCAGCATTCAATGTCCACAGAATTTCCATCACTGTGAACGGAAACCCCGTGTCCCTGGAGCAGGCGCCCCCAGCCCCTCCAGCCCAGCCACTTCTCTACCTCCTGTCTCTCTGGATTTGCTTCTGGGGGCTTTTTGCCAGAAGGAATCGGGTGATACGTGGTCTTCTGTGTCATCGAGTCTTTGAGGTTCATCCTTGCAGGACAGCACCGTTCTTTTTTAAGGCTGAGTGACACTGCCCAGTGTGCACGGACCACGTTTTGTTTCTGCATCACTTGAGGGGCATTCGGGTTGCTTCCACATCTTGGCTGCCGTGAATAGTGCTGCTGTGAACTTTTGCATAGAAATTTTTGTTTGAATGTGTTTTCAATTCTTCTTGGAAAGCACTGAGAGAGAGAGAGAGAGGAGCCGATGGTCAGTGTGGGGGGTGGTCGTGAAGGGGTCTGTTTTGTTTCTGGGCAGCTCCCCAAGCCCTCCTCTGGCTGTGCCTGTTAGAGGGGAAGCGGTGAACCAGACCCTCCTTCCCCCCAGCCAGCCCGCTTCTGTGGGAAGAGTCTAGAACCTCTAGCAAAATCTCCCTTGACCTACTCCCTTCCCAATTTTGAATCAGTCAGTTGTTCCATGTCTGGTTCGGTTGCTTCTTGACCTGCATACAGGTTTCTCAGGAGACAGGCAAGGTGGTCTGGTATGGCCATCTCTTGAAGAATTTTCCACAGTTTGCTGTGACCCACACAGTCAAAGGCTAACCCTAACCTGCACAGTCAATGGAGCAGAAGTAGATGCTTTTCTGGAATTCCCTTGCCTCTTCTGTGATCCAACGGACATTGGCAATTTGATCTTTGGTTCCTCTGCCTTTTCTAAATCCAGCTTGAATATCTGGAAGTTCTTGGTTCATGTATTACTGAAGCCTAGCTTAAAGGATTTTGAGTATTAGCTTGCTAGAATGTGAAATGAGCACAATTGTTTGGTAGTTTGAACATTCTTTGGGATTGCTTTTCTTTGGAATTGGAATGAACACTGACGTTTTCCAGTCCTGTGGCCGCTGCTGAGTTNTGGCCAAAGTATTGGAGTTTCAGCTTCAACATCAGTCCTTCCAATGAACACCCAGGACTGACTTCCTTTAGGATGGACTGGTTGGATCTCCTTGCAGTCCAAGGGACTCTCAAGAGTCTTCTCCTGCACCGCAGCTCAAAAGCCTCATTTCTTCGGCGCTCAGCCTTCTTCAGAGTCCAGCTCTCACACCCACACGTGACCGCTGGGAAAGCCAGACTTACTGACTACTGTAAGTCTAGTTCTCACCCATCAGCACACATAGTTACATTTTAATTTGCTTGTGATGAGCACTTTTAAGATGGATTCTCTGCACGACCCTCACAGGCACACTACAGTGTTACTAAGTGCGGTCCCCACGCTGTGCCTTGCGTCACTTTATAACTGGTGATGTGTTCCCTTAACTCCCTTCACCGGTACTCACTGTCCTGGGAGGCCCCTGGTGCAGAAATGCCGGCTGGGCCCACTGGGTGTCAGGACTCCCCCACCGCAGAGATGGGTGCAGGGGGCGGCGTGCCCAGCAGGGGGCAGCCGTGCCCGCAGGTTGGCGCGAGGCAGGCTGCCGGCGTTGAGACGCTGGGAAAATCTGCCCTCAGCCCACCCTGGGGAGCCGGGCCGCCAGGCTCCCTGGCAGCTGAGCGGGGAGGCCTTTGCGGCGCACTGCCCGCCCCGACCTCCGGCCTTTCGCTTCTGAAACGTGCGCTTGCGGTTTCCTTTTTCTCACCCGCCGCCCACTCCCCTTTCTGCCCTTAAGTCCCACACGGGCCCTCCCAGCCCCATGCGGCCCTCTGGATTAAGAGTGACCGACGCACCCCGATGTCGACAGCTTAGTAGGGAAACATGCAAAGAGCTCATTCATAATTTTTATGTTGGTTACCTGTTGAATTGACAGTTGATAGGTTTGGCTAAGTCAAATATCTGATTGGAATTCTCACCTGTTTCTCTGTATTTTCAAGCACGGCTCTGTTCCAGTCCTCGGGCAGGCGCTTTGCCCTGTCAGTCTGGGGGCATGGGAGTCTTGTGCCCACAGCTGGGGTGGAGCCGCGCGGCTGTGGGACGGCGTGCCCGATGGAGACCCCGGCCACTGGCCCGGCAGCACCAACGCCACGCTGGGCCCTCTGCACACGGGAGGCGTGGGCCGCAACCCCTTGGCCAGTCCATTCCTGCTGCGGGCGCCCTGAGTCAGCACAGAAAACCAGCCCCTGGGCAAGCCCAGCATGTCGGCCTGCAAACCCACTGGGGGCCCTTCCAGGGGCCGAGGCCCGGACGTGGGGCAGACAGTTCAGCCGGAACTCCCTGGGGGTGCGACGGGCTCTGAAGTCCCCGTGCCTGCCTGGGCTGGGGAGCCTGATGGTTCCCTTTCCCGGTGGCGTTTCCTTGGGAGACAGGAGATGTCAAGGCCGAGCCTTCCCCTGCCCTTCAGCCTCTCCTGGCAGCAGGGTCACTGGCCTTGGCTGTGGGGCGGGCAGTCCCCAGCTGCCCCCTCCAGCTGTGGGCACAGCCTGCTTTGCTCCAAGAGGATGGAGGCCCCAGGGCCAGGGTGTGCAGGTCCACGGGGTCACCTTGCCCCCTCCCGGCCCAGAGCTGGGCCCAATCCCCCCCGGGCTCAGAGCCCTCCCATCTCCCTGGGGTGTCTCAGGGTCCCCCAGCTTCCTGCCCGCTGGACGTACCCCATCCGTAGGGGTCTCGCCCTTCCCTCTCAGAGCCCAAGCTCTCCCAGCCTGCTGGTGGGGGGGGGAGGAGGGGGCATGGACTTGTAGGAAAGACCCCACAATCGCTAGCCGTTAAAGGAAAGCTGGACGGATCGGAAGACACCAGAGCTAAGAATCTGTCTGTGGGGATTCCTCTGGTGGTCCAGTGGCTAAGTCTCTGAGCTCCTAAAGCAGGGGGCCCTGGTTCCATCCCCGGTCATGGAACTAGACCCTACATGCAGCATCTAAGAGTTCACGCGCCACAACTAGATATCCCACCGCAAAGGCTGAAAACCTGTGTGCTGCTACTAAGACCCAGCACAGCCAAATGAATGAATAAATATTAAAAAAACGAATCTTGTCTATGAAGAGACAGATTAAAGAGAACAAAGAGCAAGCTACGGAGGAGTGAAGAGAGTCTCACTGCAAACAATGGACAAAGGACGGGGACCCAGCAAATGCAAACAGTCCTGACGGACCAGGAAGAAAAGGACACACGTCTCAGGGGCAAAGCGGGCAGGAGCCGTGGGCGGGCAGCTCTCAGACACGGGAGATGGGCAGCTGACAGCGCAGTGAGGGCCACGCGGGCCTCCGCTCCACACGCAGTCTGGAGCCTGCCACATGGCGAACGGGCTTGGGTCTGTAGGACCTCCTCTCGCCGGCGGGAGGATGAAAGTGAAAGTGGAGTTGCTCAGTCGTGTCCGACTGCGACCCCACGGACTGTAGCCCCCCAGGTTCCTCTGTCCATGGGATTTCCCAGGCACGAGTCCCGGAGTGGGTCCCCATTCCCTTCTCCAGGGGGTCTTCCTGATGAGGGGTCGAGCCTGGGTCTCCTGCATCGCAGGCAGGTTCTTTACCGTCTGAGGCACCAGGGAAGATTTGGACAATCACTTTGGGAGAATTTGACTCGTGTTGTAAAGGCAAATGTTCATGTGTCCCATATCGGGAGCACGGCTTCTGCAAAAGGCAGGAGGCACTGCTGAGCACCCGGGAAAAGACGGGCCAGTGGTGGCACGGGGACGCCGGGGGGGCCCGGGCAGGGCATGAGCTGCGCCGCTGGCTGGTGTCCTTCATGAGCAGGACATCGGGCTGAACGTCCGATGGCTCCCGCGTACCTCTGCACGGACAGCGCTGTTTATCAACCGCAAAGGCAACGAGCAAACGAGGGTGGATGGAGCCGGTGAGGTCTCGGGGTACTGGGGCTCCGTGCATTCTCAACACTGCAGTGAGCGCACTGGTGCACCCACAGATCTGTAGGTACGATAGAGGGGGCCCCGCGTGGATGCGTCACAGCTGTCTCATCACTGCCCGCCTCATCCGCTCTCAGCCCGAGTCCACAGTGAATGGACAGGAGCACCCCCCTGCACCACAAACCAAGCACCTGCTTAGCGTTAAAATTCACAGCAAGGTCACACAGGACGCGCCCGCCGCCCCACCCGTGGTGACCCTGCTGCGTGTTTCCTTCCCCTGTTCCCCGGAGTCCTGCTCCGTGTCCATGGACGGGGATTTGGGAGCCGAGGAAGGGCTGGCCTGAGACCGCACAGGGAGAAGCCTGCCTGCCAGTTTCTGTTTTTCTGGAAAATCCATTTTGTGAGCATCTGGGTCTGACCCACTCATGGACACGGGCGTAAGCGGCTTCGTTAGTTGAACGATTTCCTGTCTCTGAATAGAGAGGAGTCTGAGGACAGGTGAGCGAGGGGTGGGGAGGGGACAGGGCCGGTCACACCCACCCAGGCGTCCCTTCGTAGAAGCCGAAACGCTCCCAGAGCCTGAAGGCGAGGGGGCACCTTCCCTGAAGCAAAGCGACCAGAAGCGACAGCATCACTTTCGTGGGAGAAAGGATCCCACGACTTTCCAACGCCTTCTCTCCGCTCGCTCTTTCCTTCAGCAAATGGCCCGAGAGCAGGCGCTGCAGGCGGCAGGGAGGAGCCGCCCCCTCGTGCTGGGGTGCTCAGCAGGGAGGGCTGACCCCGCAGTAACGAGGTGGAGGTGGCTGAGGCCCTGCTGCTCCCTGGGTCACCCCGAGGCCCCGCTGGCCACGTCCGCTGTGCCTACACCCGCACCCGCCGGCGGCCAACACCAGCTCCCACGGAACTGCAGAGCCCCACAAACGTCCCTGATCCCCTAGAAATCCTCCTCTAGAAATCTCTGCTCCTGGAGCCCTGCCCCAGCCTGGGGACCCTGCTGCCCCTCACCCCGTGTCCCCCCGTCACTGGGCCTGCCTCCGCGGCCTCTGCACAGCCGTATGCTCCTGCCCTTCTCACCGCCCCAGGCGGTCACCCTCCACCTCGCCCTGGACCCCAGGACAACCCCTTCCCAGGCAGGGTCCTCCCCACCCCGCCCTGGACCCCGGGACAGCCCCCTCCCGGGCAGGGTCCTCCCCACCTCGCCAGCCTGACCACGTTGGTCGTCTGTTCAGAGCCCTGCCCCAGCCTGGGGACCCTGCTGCCCCTCACCCCGTGTCCCCCCGTCACTGGGCCTGCCTCCACGGCCTCCGCACAGCCGTATGCTCCTGCCCTTCTCACCGCCCCAGGCGGTCACCCTCCACCTCGCCCTGGACCCCAGGACAACCCCTTCCCAGGCAGGGTCCTCCCCACCCCGCCCTGGACCCCGGGACAGCCCCCTCCCGGGCAGGGTCCTCCCCACCCCGCCCTGGACCCCAGGACAGCCCCCTCCAGGGCAGGGTCCTCCCCACCTCGCCAGCCTGACCACGTTGGTCGTCTGTTCAGAGCCCTTCAGNGGGGACACGGTCTGGGAGGGAGCGGGGGTGGGCGGGGCGGAGAGGTGAGGGGCAGACCTGGGTGTCTTTCTGGGGCTGAGACCAAGCTCTCCCGGAGGAAGGGAACCGGACCCTGCGGGGGCAGAGGGGCAGGGGCTGGGGGCTTGTGGGGGATGCTGGGCTGTGGGTGTGAGAAGGAGCAAACTTGGGGATGAGGGGGCAGCGGGCGCCCTGGGAATCAGGAGGAGGAGGCTGGGTGGAGTCACGCTGGGAGCCGGGCCCGGGGTGCAGGCTCACGCGCGGGGTGGGCCTGGGGTCGGCCCGGGGAGGCCCAGCGCCCTCCCGAGTGCAGCTGGTGCCCGCCGCGGTGCGGCCCGGGGGTTGCTGAGCCAGGATGTTCTCCAGCCGAGGGGCTGCCACCTTCCCCGAGAGGGGTGTGGGCAGGGTCCTCGCCCCCGCAATCGGGCCCTCCCAGCCCTCGGGCATCTGCTGCCCTGGGGGCCGGTCCCGACGGTCACGTCCTTAGGGCCGCTTCCTGGGGCTACGTCCCAGCCCCCCTGCCCTGCCGGCACCCGTGTCCCTCCCGGCGGCCTCGAGGGTGATGTCGTCACCACCCGAGGGGGGTGGACCAGCAGGGCCCCCTCGGTGTGTGCCGATGAGCTTTTGGGAAGAGGCGCCCATGCCGTCTGCCCGTGGACCACTGCCCGCTGCCCAGGACTGAGCCCCTGCAGGCCTCGCCGGCCGTTGCCGCCTTAGCAGGAGGCACCTCCAGGGAGCCGGGAGGGTCCTCCCAAAGCGTGTCATCTTGGCCGAGGGCCGAGAGTGGACCAGGCTCCCGGGCGGCGGGGGCCAGGGCTCCGTTTGGGCTGGGGGAGCGCTTGCCATCCGCTACAGCTGCGCCCCAGAGTCCGCGGCTCCTGCAGCTGACGTGGCTCCAGGTGAGCCGGAGTAAGACGGCGCCTGGCCTCCCTGCCGGCTGGACGCCTTCTGAACGGATGACGAATGTGTTTTAATTCGTCCCCACTTGGCATGGAATCCCCACCCCCACGCGAGTAACTGGGTCGCCAGCAAAGGCGCGCTGGGCTGACTCCAGCTCCCCGCCCTTTCCCGCAGGAGGGCCCTGGTCTTGTTAGCACGCTGACGGTCCCTGCGGGGCTCAGGGCAGTCCAGAGACGGACAGGCCGTGGGCGCTGCCGGGCGGCCCCGGAACGCAGCTCTCCACCCTCAGGAGGGGGTCATTTCCACTCCTGCCTCTTGGGGAGGCAGAGTCGGAGTGCTTGGGGGGGAGGCAGAGTCGGAGGACTTGTGGGGAGGCAGAGTCGGAGGACTTGGGGGATGCCTCGGGAGTTGAGCCTCCCCTGCCAGGTGCTGAGACCTCTCTGGGCTGGGCTCCCTCCCTGTGGGCAGGGTGGGAGTGTCCTGGGGTGACCATACCTGTCTCAGATGTGCCAGTGTTAGGGGCAGCACGCGTCCCCGGTGCCCACTGGCTTCTGGGGCTGCGCTCTTGGCTCTGGGGGGTTCCTGAGCCTCCTTCCCGCCTCCTGGGTTCCAGGCCGGTCCAGGTTCCTCTGCAAGTGACGGGCAGTCCTCCATGACGGCCGTGCGCTTGGAGGCGGAGATGTTGTCCAGTGGCCCGCAGCACACCTGGGGTCAGCCTCAGTCTCTGCCCTCTTAGCCAAGGCAGGTCACCCCACCGCTCGGAGCCTGTCTCCCATGTGGGGACTGAGAGGCAGAGACTGAACAAACAGCCTCGTGTGGGCTCGGACAGACGGGGCGTGTGAAGGGCAGCTGATCAGCCGTGGTGAAGGGGGGCCCGGGGCTGGGCCGTGGGTGAGGGCAGAGCCCTCTAGAGTGCTTGCGGGCAGCCTGAGCTGGGTGAAGCTTCAGGCCCTCGGCATTTGGGTCCCTGAATCTTGGTGCAGGGAGGGCAAGCGGGGGCCCCAAAGGGTCGGTGGAATCGTCCTCGGCAGGGACCTGTGGGCTGAAGGCTCTCTTGTCTCCTGGAGACTCTCAGTGGGCAGTGCGGCCCTGGGGCCGTGGGGAGACCCCCAGGTCGGGGTGGGGGCTGGGAGCCACGCAGACTGCAGACTCCCCCTTGGGCATCCCCTGATCAACACCCTCAGGATGACGGGGCTGCTGGGCTCCGGGAACTTAACCACGTCTGGCTCCTGGCTCTGCCCAGCAAACCGCCCTGCTCCCCTGGGCCCGCTGACCCAGGGCCTCCGGCCTCGGCACCCAGCCTCTGTACACCTCCTGCTTTTCTGCATCTCAGGTTAGGCCTCCACTTGTGAGTGGGGTGTGTTCTCTGTCCAGGCGTATACCCACTCATCCAGCCAACCATCCAGCTTTCCATCCATGCATCCATCCCCTCGTTCTATAAATGTTCTCCTTGAGCAGGTCGCACAGTCA